CAATAGCTTTACCGCGGCAGTCCCCGAGTGCCACACGTCTTTTTTTTATTTATTTTTTTGGGCGAGGGCTATGTTCAGCAGTTGACTATTGACAGGCTGGTAGTGTTGAGCAATGAAGAAATCTGTTCAAGTTTTATTTGGAAAATTTAACTTAAATGTAAATTACACTTGAGGTTCTCACTTTTACTGTTCTTTGTTTAACTTGTAAAAAGCAAAAACGGAAACAAATATTCAAGAATGTATTTGCCATGAAATCACGTTTCAGATTAGTCTGTAATATAATAAAATAGCCACCTCATTCTATATTTTCTTTATAGAATCAGGTGTCAAACGAGCACACAGTCCAGCTGATGTTAAGTGGATGCCCTGGCCCATAGACGTTTATCCTCATTTAGGAATCAAAATGCCGATACGTTGTTACACCTGAGGATTAAGATGTAATGCTTCGATTCTAGTAAAAAGCTGCTTCCAGCTGCAATTTTACCCTGGTATAATCTCCGGTCGAACTGCAATCATATTTTTTTATAGAATAAGGGTGACAAACGAGCACATAGTCCACCTGATGGTAAGTGAATGCTGTGGCCCATGGACATCCTCATTTATCTTCAATTAAAAATCTAAATGCAGATACTTTGCTAACCCTGAGGATTGAGATGGAATGCCTCGTTTCTATTTAAATGGATATCCGGTTCTCTACGCTCACCGTACGAAACACAGCTGCATTAAACTACTATTTTGCGCTGGTATTCTGTGAGAGGGTGGTCCTATGCCAGTCGAGCAGATGCATTCTTGCTCTGATGCATTAATGCTGGTGTTCCAAAAGGCTACGTGCTATCGCCAATGCTGTTTATTCTGCATATCAACGATATGTTGCAAAACCGTAACATTCATTGCTATGCAGATGACAGCACTGGTGATGCTCTTTACACCGGCCGAGCCAATATTTCTCGGAAAAACGTCTCCGAGTGCCTGGACAAACTTGTGTCTGAAGTAGAGTCTTTACTGAACAGAATCTCGGATTGGGGGTGATTAAATCTAGTCCAGTTTAACCCCCAGAAGACACAAGTTTGCGCGTTAACCGCTAAAAAGAACCCCTTTGTCGTATCTCCTCAGTTTCAAGGCACTCCCCTTGTTGCCTCAGCCAGTATCGGAATCCTCGGCGTTGACATATCGAGTGACGTGCAGTTTCGTGGTCACTTGGAAGAGAAGGCCAAATTGGCCTCTAAAAAGCTTGGCGTGCTCAGCAGAGCGGGACAGTATTTCATGCCGGCACACCGCCTGCAACTTTACAGGGCGCAGGTCCCGCCGCATATGGAATACTGTTCCCATCTCTGGGCTGGGGCTCCCCAGTACCAGCTCCTTCCACTTGACCTCATCCAGCGCAGAGCGGCTCGAATCGTCGACGCCCGAGTGCTTTCCGATCGGCTTGATTCACTGGCACTGCGAAGAGATGTTGCACCTCTTTGCATTTTATTTCGCATATACCATGGAGAGTGCTCTGAAGAATTATTCGGATTAATCCCAGCCGCCAAATTTTGTGAACGCACTACGCGGCAAACGTCCCGATACCATCCACACCATCTGGATGCTTCGCGGTCCACCACAGTACGTTTCAAAAGGAGTTTTCTTCCGCGTACAACCTCTCTGTGGAATAGTTTACCACCGGCGATTTTTCCGGACCGATACGACCTGGGGACCTTCAAGAAAAGAGCTTACTCCTTTCTAAAGGGCCGGCAACGCACCTGTAATTTCCCTGGTGTTGCGGTTGATTATGGGCGGCGGCGTCACTTAACATCAGGTGAGCTGCATGCTCGTTTGCCCCCCCCCCTCTTCTATAAAAAAACACAATACAGCTGCAGCATGGCTCTACCACGTAGAAAATATATAATAAAGCTGAAGCGTGGCATTTATGAGAAACGTCTCCTAGACTTATATAAAATATCTACATCGTTGTATGTAACTTTAAATAAAGAAGATATGAATGAAGTTACATTCGTGTACAATAACACTGTGTATATTTCTAACAAACTTCAAATGCCCTTTATCAAAGTTCTTAAAAAGAAGTCACGGGTGAGTAGCGTACACCATTAATCTTCTATAATAAAAGTGCCATTGTAAACGTAGCACGGGAATATCAGTGATAAATACGAAACCTCGATTTAAATGGCGCGTGACCGGCTGTCGACGATGTTTTCAGGAATGAGCTTTATATTGTTTTCCATTTGTGGAAGCGAAAATACTGAAATTTGTTAACATTTACAAATAGTTTTCTTTAATATTTATCACATTATTTATTATTAATATAAAAATCCGTGTGTGGTGAAGTGTTTGCCTGTTTGCCTGCAGTAATTGTAATTAGATCACCATTAGGTGCGCTGCTAGGAGTAGGTAAGAGGATGGTATTAGCCCAGATAGATTCGTTGGCAGTAAAGGAGGCCTACCATAAATATGCTAGTGACATTGAATATTTGAAGATCAATTATCCTAAAATAAAAGATTCCCTGAATTTTGCCCATCTCAAAATATTATAAATATAAAGATAATATATTGTTTAAAATTATAACAAATACGTAAACGATACTGTGGTAATATCATTAAAAATGATTAATATTGTATTTATAACTATTAAACAAACAACATCGGCAATATTTCAAATTTTAATATTTAATAATCCGAAATAAAAAAGTCCAAATATTTAGCCATCTTATGATATCGTAAATATAAAGATATATACTGGATGACCTTTTTACCGTCTAATAAAAAATGGGGTGTAGCATATGAAAAGCATATAGAACTGATATATTACAAAAAATAAAAACAAATATTTTGAATTTAATAAATAAATGAAATCTATCGAAATTCAAATTATATCCACCCTACTTTACGAACGGCAATGAAAGATTATTATTATTAAAAATTTAGTACGCATTTTTAATTATATCTATTAGATTTATTATACACATAATTTATTATTTCTTTTCAATTATAGACGCCTTGTTCGTGACAGAGAAAAAAATTACATTTTGTATCGTCTACAGAAATACACGTTCTCCGCAAATGACATTTATTGTTCCGATTTTATTAAGAGTATTAAGTTCGACAAACCTCAATAAACATAGTTATTGAATAATAAAATATAGCTCAAGTATATTCTTTTAAAACATAAGAGATTCGATTTGTATTGACCACCATCTTTTTATTCTGTTTGTGACCATACATTGAGCCTTAAGTGGTCTCACGTTAATTGCTACTCGTATCTTCAACAATAAAACTGCTCAGTAGATATAATTATAAATAACTATTCATATAACGAATATAAACTTAAAGATATTTTAATTATTAACAATTTTTCATTAGAATTGCTTAGAATTACGTTGCCACACACGTAACAACACACTGTCGCTTTGTAAAATATATTCATACATTCATTAATTTATTATAGCCCATAAAAAGTAGAAAAAGAGACGCTGCTTTGCTTCTGCCGTTTGTAGTATTGCCGTGTTGTAGTGGATTCTCTAAGGCCGCCAATACACGGCTGAACATAAAAAATATAATTTTATATACTTAATTGTAAGCAATAAATATAACTTAGCAAGCAGTAAATATTATTACTCATACGATTTTACTAGGTCCTTACATATGAAATTGGCGTTTTGTACGGGAGGAATATAATGTCAATTTTTATTTAGTAAAATATATTTAATTAAACAAAGTATGCACCGTCGTTATCTATGCATTTGTCATCTTATAGGTAGTTCATTGATCCCTTTCCAAAAAAAAACCGTGGGGGCGAGAATCAAAAAACTCTTTGAAAGCGGTTTGGACTGCCGCATCGGAGTTGAATTTTTTTCCTTGTAAGAATTTGTCCAAATTCCGGAAAAAATGGTAATCTGTTGGAGTAAGGGCCAGGGAGTACGGTGGATGTCGCAGACATTCCAACTGTAGCTCATCTAACTTAGTGGTTGTTTGTTGTGCAGTGTGTGATCTTGTGTTGTCGTGAAGCAGCAGTGGCCTAGAGCGATTGACCAATCTCGGTAGCAGCGAGTTCTTCCTTCATGGTTTGCAATTGCTGACAATAGATATTTGAAATAATTTTACATTGTGTAAATTTAGCTTTATCTCTAAAGCTAAATTTACACAATGTTGAATGTAATAAAGCAACAGAAAAAGCAAAGAAGCATTTAGTCCATCTACATCTATCCTCTATTAAGAATCAAAATGCAGATGCATTGTCACCCTAGAGGAGTAAGATGGAATGCCTAAAGGGTCTCCGCTTGTGTACACTCACCAAACGAAACAGCAGCATTTTTACCTGTTAATTCAAACTAGTCTTCGGTGAGGGCATGGTCTTTCCCCAGTTGAACTGACCTATTCATGCTACAATTATAGTACATCTGCAACATGGCTACCATAAAATTATCAATAATGTATTATGTTAAGGAAAACTAATTTGAGTGTGTATATTTTTTTTTAGTATTTCTAGTAAAAATATAATATATAAACAAAACACGGTCTATGTTCAGCAGTGGACTTGTGAAGGGCTGTAATGATGATGATAAACAAAATATTTAAAAAATTTTGGAGAATTAACATCAATATGAAATTATCAAATAACAAAAACAAAAAAAAAAATACTGGATTTTGATATAAAGTTAAAGAAAATCTTTTACGAAATGCAAAAGTGGACTTAAAATTTAAAATAAGAATTTTAATTTATTATACTTTTATCATGTAAAAATATAGAGAATAGAATTTATAAACAAGAATTTTAACCAATAAAAACCAAAAAATTACAAATATTAAAGATTCAACATCAATATGAAATTATCAAATAACAAAAACAAAAAAATTACTGGATTTTAATATAGAGTTAAAGAAAATATTTTACAAAATGCAAGGACTTGTGTGATTATAGCATTTTTTTGTTTCAGTTAAACAAATCTTTTCTTATTGGTGTGATGTCAGATATCAGTAGAAGTGAAATTCTTCTTTTGGAACCTTCAACTTGGAAGTTGATGCATATAATCTTCTTTTGCACCTAATACTTCTTGAGAAGAATTCTGCATATTGTTTAACTGTTGTGTTTCAACAATATCTGTAATGAATAAATTGAAAAAATCAGTCACTATTGTGTTATGTGAAATTTTAGTGTAATTTTATTATTTAAAAAAAATAGTCCCACTGGGTTTCTCGTTGGTTCTTCCCAGGAAGAGGTTTTTTTTGCGAACCAATGGTAAATGAAAAAAGTGACTTCCAATAAGTATTATTTATAATCTATATTGAATAAAAAGTTTCTGTTTCTGTAGCTGATGTTTGTACACACGAGTCTATATTCAGAAAGGTGGATGGCCAAATCGTACCAGACAACGAAATGATAATGTCCCAATATGAAATATTTATGTAAAATACCCTTATTGTTTAAGGTCTTAAAACACACAAGAAATACCTCTCTAAGTAGCCATAAAAAAAGTATCCATTTATTTCTATTTTTGAAACTGTTGAAAATTATTTCAAATAATATTTTCAGAATGCACCTAATGATGATTCATTTCGTGTGTAAAAGGACTTGGTATTCAAAGACTAATTATACACGTTTTTATGATTAGTTGTTAATTTTAATTCAATTAATTAGTATGTAGATATCAAATCAACTATTATGCTGATTTATTATGTACTGGATTCTTGTCATAAAATAATTATGTAGGTCATAGTAAGCTAAACGTTTTGTTCTGCTGTTTGTGCTGAGCTGTATGGTTGTTTCAGGCAACTTCAACAGACCATGTTTGTCATCCCTGTTGGCTGAGACTCAAGAGAGTTGCAACACATAATATGCAGCAGACAGAGCCGGAGCAGAAGCCAGAGCCTCAACCCCAAGAACCTCAAAGTTCTCCAAATACCGACCAGCAAGATGACGAAGTACCTAGGGTGATTAGTTTGCCGTAGTACAGACGAGCGGCATACACTGCAGCACATTGTGTTTTTTCTGGTTGCCAGAACACAGATTTGCATAGAATTTCTGACCCTCTAAGAGCAACAACTCCTATAAATGCTTGTATTTGTGTAGAACATACATTTAGTACTGATTGGGATATGTTGTTCAATTCTAAAAATAGTTTAAGAACATTTACGACTGAACAAGTGGAACATGCTCTTTCTTTTATAAATGCTTTCAACACATTTCTTGATTTCTCGAGTATGGAATGTGTTGAAAAAGAATTGATGAGCATTTGTTTCATTATTGGCTCGCAATGAATAAACAACAATTTGAACTTTTGTTATATGAAACGCCACGTCTTATAGAAACAATTAGAGGCATTTTAGGTTTAGATGCCCTTCTAATGAAGATGAGAACTGGTGAATCAGATGACCGGTTATCTCAGTTATTAATGGTTCCAAGACAAACATTAGAAAGATTAATGGATAAGGTAAGGGAAATATTGGTACAAGATTTTGTGCCTAGAAATCTGGGAATTGAACACATATCCTGTGAGCAATTGTTGCAACACAACTTAATGATTCCAAATGCAATTTAAAATCAAAATAATGAAAATGCGATAATTATATGTGTTGGGACATATATTTTTATAAACAAAAGTTCCAATTATATGTTCCAAAAGGACCCATATTCCTTACATAAATCTTAAAACTTGTTAAAACCATTTTTGCTGGTGACACCTGATGACTACATTGTAGACTGCTTTGGCCCATACAAAGCTACCACAACTGATGCCGATATAATGAAGTCTCTTTTCAGAGATGAAACTGTCCTCTCAGACAATACCTTCAAAATAACGATGTTTTTATTCTAGACAGTGGGATTTAGAGATTCAATTCGTTTCTTAGAGGCTTGCAGCTACAGAACATATATGCCGGAATTTCTGCTTGAGAGTGAGCATCAGCTCACCACTGAGTAAGCCAACAGGAGTCGTTGTGTGACCATATGTCGATGGGTGGTGGAAGTTGTTAATGGGTACTTCACACGAGACTTTAAAATATTCCGGCACGATTTTTTTAATAAAACTGTTCCACAAATGATGCATATGCTTTCCATAGCTGCAAGCCTTTTAAATAAATTCGGTGTTCGATTAAAAAATAGGAATGATGCCGAGCAAATCATAAATATGATTAGAGAATGATTTCAATTAAATAATAATTTATCTGATTTTATAAATAGTATGAATATGAATAGATGAACATCTGATTTTACTAGTATTACAGTTCATTTCAATACTAATATTATAATTCCCCGTCTAGAATATAGTGAAGTTATATTATTTGCCCTAGGAACATATCAGATTCAACAGGCAAGGTCCTATTATAGTGAACATGTCAGGTTTCACAGAGAGTATCAATGATTAAAACTACTTTTACGGATTTTATCGCGTTTATTTTTACTTTTTATTTACTTTTATTTTTAATTCCCAACGTTTCGGGCGCTTTCCAGCACCCATGGTCACGGGGGACTGAGATGACTGACGTCCCGATGTCATTGTTAAACCCGGAGTACCTTCAGCTTTTTTAATTATTGTTTATGGTCCGATCTATGCAAAATGAACTGATCCCTCGTGCTCTCTGTAACTTTGTTACAGAGAGCACGAGGAGAGGAGAGGCAATTGAAAAGGAACCCAGGTTCGGGGTCCTCTTGATCTGGCCGCGAAGAACCAATTAAAAAGGACCAACGTGGATTAAACGTTCGATTAAGAAACAGAAGGGAGGAATCGAGGCTTCTCTCGATCCGGCCTCCTATAACGCCTACGTTGGGTTCGGGAACAACGTATGTGATCTCCGCAACGGAGTAACACACAAGGGCGGTAACCTCTTCCTTTCAGCGAGTAGGTTCAGACGGGGATTACGGGTCTTCCGAAGTCGTCCCGGTCCCAACGCCTTAATTCTTCGATGTGGACTGTATAACTTGAGGGATGAATTTCTTGGAATAAAACAGCAATTATCTTCAAACCATTCCGTGAGAGAGTAATCACTTTTCCCTATCACTTCCCTACACTTTTTCTTTCTTCTTATTGACAAAGTTACAGAGAGCACGAGGGATCTGTGACAGCAAACACCTGGCCGCCGATCTTCAGCACGTCAAGCAAGTTCTGCACGACAACAAGCTTCGGGTCCCGCGCCTACGTCACAGTGACCGATTGAAGCCGGCCACAGTCGAGCGTGTGCCTACTGTACTACCATATGTCAGAGGTGTCACAGACAAGATTGGCTATATCTTGAAGCGAGCTTCTATTAGAACATTCTACAAGCCGCCGAAGAAGATTAGTCAGTTCCTACCATCCGTCAAGTGTCATATTCCTCTACAAGATGCAGGAGTGTACAAGCTTGATTGTGAATGGGGTCTCTCTTATATAGGACAAACAAAAAGATCAATTAGGACCCGCGTAAAAGAACATATAGCTGATGTGAAGCATCAACGTTCCGGGAAGTCTGCAGTTTGTGATCATATCCTAGACGGACCCAATCATTAGATCAGATTTGATAGACCACAAATTCTCGCGAAAGAACACCGATTCCTACCAAGGCTATTGAAATTAAAAAACATTCTAATTTCAATAGAGAAGGAGGCTGGGTACTACCACCTGCTTGGGATCCTATAATCAATAAAATTAAAACTAAACCCAAGCATACCACTGCAAGACCTCAGGACATAGTCAGTTCATTTTGCATAGATCGAACCATAAACAATAATTAAAAAAGCTGAAGGTACTCCGGGTTTAACAATGACATCGGGACGTCAGTCATCTCAGTCCCCCGTGACCATGGGTGCTGGAAAGCGCCCGAAACGTCGGGAATTAAAAATAAAAGTAAATAAAAAGTAAAAATAAACGCGATAAAATTCGTAAAAGTAGTTTTAATCATGTATAGTGTTCGCGTAAATATAAGAAATCAGAGGGTATCAAATTGAAATAAGCAGAGAAAACATTAATGTAACAGAGTATCGACTACTCTCTAGCGTAGATATTAAACCTCTAGAGGTTTATATGCTAGCATTGTACTGGATAATGTAACAAAATTATAGACAATAAATTAAAAAATTGTTTGAGGAAGTGGAAATAATTCACTTATAAGAGGCAAAATCAAATCCAGACACATTTCAAGAAAAGTATACTATGTTTATATATTAATTGAAAATAATGTGTCTGGAAGGAAAGCTATAATAGAGTATTGCTGTAATTGTTTAGGTGGTAGAACAGTTTAGTGCTGTGCACATTTTATGACGCTTGTGCGATACCTTGGGTGGGCATCAGGCGACAGTAAAAGCACCTGTAGCATTCCTTGATGCTGTAGTCGTAAGAGAGTATGATCAATAAAAAGTAATTTTATCTTTTTTATAGAAGTAGGGTGACAAACGAGCACACAGTTCACCTGATGGTAAGTGGATGCTGTGGCCCATAGACATCTACATTTATCTTTAATTGAAAATCAAAATACAGATGCATTACCAGCCCTGAGGACTGAGATAGAATGCCTTGTTTCCATTAAAAAGGGTCTCCGGTTATCTATACTCACCATACGAAACACAGCAGCATTAAGCTGCTATTTTAGTTTGGTTTCTATCATGGGCACAGCATCGAGATGAGGTTGATCCACCTACATCTTTTTTATGTGATATATTCCTATCAAGTGATGATATTGAAAATAAAGAATGATGATTATTAACCTTAATGTGTATTAATATTGTAATATTAATGATGCTTTTTGCCATAGTTGCTACACTTGTGGCAACCAAAGTTTTTTGTGGTATTCTATAGGAAGATGCCGCTGCTCATCTCCTGGTATTTTTATTTGACTCTGTCGACTTTCACGACACCATACGGGACAAAATGGGGTGACAATTCACGAAAGGCCTGTGTAATATTTTACATTATATATTTATTTTAGGAGGCCTGTCTTCAGCAGTGGACTGTCGCAATGATGATGAATAATGATCAATTAAAATTGTATTGTTTGTTGTTTATTTTACCTATTTCGATTTTACTGTGTGCTTTATTTTCTGTTATATATCATATGTGCAATTTATAAATAAACACAGAGCAAAATTGAATTTAATGTTCTGGCACCCTTTTTTTATCTCTTTTAATTGACAATCTCCTTCTGATTTATAATAATATAAATGGGTAAGTATCTCTAGACATTATATTTTAATGATGTTTGGGATTTATGCTTGCAAATAAATGAGTACTTTAATAAACAAATGGCCCGCACTGCACCTGTCTGCTGTGCTATTTGTAAGAAATGACTTATAAAATGCCGATTTTTATAATAATCTAATTTTAATCAGATTAATTAAAATAAATCTAAATAAAAGGAAACAAGATTGCTAATTACCCTCCTCACTTATCGCTAACTACACTTTTAGACTACGTCGCAGTCGGATAAAGCGTCCAGGCAATGTTTTTCGTTAAAAATCAAAATGTACAATAAATTGCCTTTAGAAATAACAAGACTTCCATTAAACGCGTTTCGACAAGTGACAAAAACATACTTTTTGAATCACGCTTTCTGTAATATAGAAGAATATATGAAATGTTCATTTTCTGACTTGCTTGACATGTAAAATAATGTAAATGTAGATATATTTTAATTTGTAATTTTAATAATCTAATGTAATCTTATATCATTTGAATTGATTGTAATTTTGACATACCAATGTTATATTTTAACGAAATGGCCAATAAATAAAAAAAGTAAAAGGTATTTGTTGATTCAGCCTTAAAAATATTGTTGACTTTATTATAAAAAGTCGTGGCTCTTTAGATATTATTTTTAAACAAAATTGTGTTTACAACAAAAATACAAACCAATCTAACTATAGTTTGTTTTGGGACATGAAAAAAAAGTCAAGTCCAGCTCCTATAGAAATTTGGTCATCCACCTTTGTGCATGGGTACCAAACCACATTAAATAAATGATTATTTAATTATATTTTGTTTCATCATCTTTATTCTATGTCACATGAAATAATTAGTAAGTTTGATTAGATTTTAACTATTTTTTCCCTGTAAATTTACATTGATACTTTTAATTGCTCAGGTTATGTATAGCCCTATGCTGAAATAGTGGACATAAGAAGAATTTAACCAAAACATCCGTTAAAAGCATGCTCTATAAATGCTAAATTCTGATGTAATATGATATTAGAAAAACACTGAACTTACATACCTACGGTGTAATATGGTGCTGATCAGTCAAAATCATTAGATAATGGTTTAAATTGTGGAGGTAATAAGGCCACAACTTCTTCATCAACTGCAGTTGTCTTAGGGCAAAATGTTTTACCTCCTGTCTTGTACAGCTCGGACTGAAATTAAAATTTAACGTTCTATATTACATACTTGTCGGATACCATGGTGTAACTTTATATGAGAATAAATTATTATTGGAGTATTTCCAAGACAATAACTGTGCCTATAAAGTAGTTTGTAGAATGACGTATATTATTAGTACACTACAAAGTAATATTACAGCTTGTACAGTAAAGTTCCTTCGCACCTTGTATATTTAAAAAAGTTTATTAGTTCAAACAAAAATAAGCAGGATATCACCTACCTTATCATCGCTTATATTTTTTCTTATCATATAACGCATTCAATGGTTTTTCTGATTCCCGTTTCAGAGAGAGCATTATATTTATTGGTCAACTTGCTTCTTAGCCTCTACAGTTGTCCCGTCCGTCTTTTTGTTATCAATTGTAGCCACAAATTCTTTGGCTACTTCAATTAGAAGCATCTTCTCTCTTTCTGTAAAATTTCTACTACGTTTGCCAGACTCCATAATGTTAATTTTAAAAAGATGAAATCACTAAACAAATCGGAAAGAGAAAAATAAAACCACACAGAAAATAAAAGTAATGACCAACGAGCAATGAGTATGATGTTTTTTTTAAACAATTTGACAGTACAACTCAGATGAAGTAATAAAAGGTAGATACAGCGCGGCCTTTGTTATTGGCGAAGCCAAAAAAACTCCGCTCCTTTATGTAAGCACACGCATTCACGCACACAAATGCATCAAACTACGCTCATTTTCGTTCAGTACTTCCCGGGCCGCCGTGCAGTAAATTTACGTACAAAATGCCGTCCTTTGTAGGTAAATGATGCAAAAACAATACTAAAGTGAACAAAAAGTCTGAAGCAATATCGTTTCACTCGTAAACACTCATTTAACTATATTTTAATTTGTTATTCCAACACAATTTTGAAGGTTATTCGAAGCACGAATGTCAATGTATCGGGATTATGTAACAGGAGAATGTTGCCAGTATTTTATTTCTTATTTCTAATGGTCCAAGATTTGGGTAATTAATTTTAGGCTAAGTTATAAAAATACATGTAGTCAGCATATTTTTTTTAAATTACTTGTTATATGTTACATCAAATTGAAGTCAAGGTAAATATTTAATTTTTTAAATCGCTGATGTTTCTGTTTTAATTGTTGAGTACTAACAAACTATTTTACTATCAAAAAATATTAATGATTTTAGGCTACGAATGAATATTTTAATAGGACATGATTTTTTACGTGGTGAGCCATGCTGCAGTTATACTATTAGTAGTATAGTTATAGCACGAATGGGTCGGCCCGACCATTCTGGGGAAGCTCCACGCTCTCACAGAATACCAGCGTAAAATAGTAGCTTAATGCTGCTGTTTCGTATGGTGAGTGTAGAGACTCGGAGACCCTTTTTACTGGAAACGAGGCGTTCCATCTTAGTGCTCACGGGTTACAACGCATCTTCATTTTGATTCGTAATCGAGGATATATGTAGATGTCTATGGGCCACAGCAACACTTATCGTCAGGTGGACTGTATGCTCGTTTGTTACCCTATCCTATAAAAAAAGAAGGGTAGCTGCTATAAGACTGCCAAAATGGCAGCCATCCTCTAGACTTGACAGTGGTAGAGCCACACAGCGGCTATTGATGTCGCATGGATGGGCCAGCTTGAGCCGGGGTACCACGACCTCACAGAATACCTGCGTGAAGTAGAGGTTTACCTCTGCGTTTCGCTTGGGCTGGAGGCCCAATTCCCCCTCCCCCTTAACATCGTAGCGGAATCAAATAAAAACTACCCCAAGAGGGTACCCTCAATCCTGGTGACGGAGAATCTCTCGCTGAGCATCCACGACCAAGCTTCTTTACTCTTCCTGAGCATGGGTGCTTAGGCTGCTCCACGTATTCTTGGGAGGGATGGGGGGGGGGGGGAAATTCTGCACGCGACTAAAACTGTTGGAGGCAAGAGGAACAATAAGGCCAAGGCGACCTCTGTCACGCTATTCGTGAATTTTTGCAACATCAGGACACTTCATTCCAATATTAATGCTATCCACTACTCTCGGCCTTGCTCTTTTAAACCGAGACTTAGATGTCCTCTCCGGCTGATACTTCATATCTCTCCTACCCGGGGTACTAATTAGAACACTCCTTTGTGCCCCCCGGCTGGAGTTTTTTTCTATTTTGCATTTATTTAATGTACCTTTTTTCATTTAGAAATGTATATTTTTAATTCCATAGAAATTTATTTTTTATTCCAAATAGTTTTTTTAGTATTAGTTATTTTTATAATAAACATGTTTTACATTTCATGTGTTGTATATTTTATCGATGCTTACATGTTCACTGGATACTATCAAGAAGTCTTTTAAAAGATTTACAGACGCCTCCTACGTGCTTCATCTTTTTTTGAATTGTTATATTGTTGAAATATATTAAAACAGACGGATATACTTTCGCATTCGCATCGCGTATTACTCTTATAGTTGTAGTATTGTATCTCGACTTTCAGGGACTAAGACTAAGACTAACTAAAAAAAGTGGCAACACTTCTCTGAATCACACAAAGTTATAAAATTGGTTACAGTTTCTTGTTCTAGTTGCGATATCTACCTTTTTTTACTTCATCTGAGCAGTACAATGATGTCGTTCATACAGTCTGATGTATATTGAATTATCTTAATTTATTGCTAAAACGGTGCATATTCACTTATTTAGCCGCAAAAAAAGAATATTTTATAAATAATACTAGTATAAATGAAGAATTTAAATAAAATAAATCAATTTTAGATTCGATTTCTTCGATGGGTCGAAACAGACCCATCTAGTGGCAAATTATAGAACTTGTTATTGGTTGCATAGTTGTTGAACGGTTAGTTTCGTATTCAGAAACGCAGTGACAGTTAACCGACGTATATTCTATAGATAACTTTATTGAATCAATAGCTAATGGGGCATAAGCCACGGCTTCTAAGAACCTCTCCCCGACGAGGTGGTAATCCGTTCGGGGAGGCCACCGTCTCGGCTGCATCATCACTTAGGTACCGTTAGATAGGATAGTAATCAAGTACTTAATTAGTTTTAATAAACCTACATTTTAGCAGTCGCATTAACACCTCACCCCCAAGCGGTCAAATTCGACCTCGGCGCTATTCCGTCATAATTTAAACAGTCGAATTCGACCGCAAATACCCACATCACCTTAAACCATTAAAACTTATATTTAGAGATTAATTTTCTACAAAGAAGTTCGACATTATAGAATCAATATGAAATTTTCTATCCTCTAGTGAAATGAAAAGTCATGTTATCTTATGGATAATTATTTATAATCTACGTTAATTTCATACGCCATTTTCGCGTGAATGTTAATGTGTTGATTTTTGAATTTTTCTAGTGTTTTAGTATAGTATTTTTAAAAATTATTATGAAAGTTTTTGTGTGAATATAATTTACATTTTTACGTAAATAATTTCGAGTAATATATATTGGAATAATTGTGATTTTCACGCTGCCGACATTCACTTGGTATGTTTTTTTTTTTTGTTATATAAATACAATAAAATCTTTTTTGTAATGAAGTAAAAACTGAATTTTGTTTATACCACAGGATAGAGAATTTTGTATAGATTTTATAATGCCAAACTTCTTCACAGAAAAGTAGTCTCTAAATATAACTTTCAATGGTTTTAAGTGCTGCGGGTGGGTGCGGTTGCATGCGACTGCATCGCATTTTTATGGGGATCGAAGGTTTAAAAATAAATGATAATACAATAACTTCATGAATATGACCACGGTCGTGTAGTGGCGTTGTAAGGAAATCCACTACTCCATTTCATCCCGTAGTTGTCGTAAGAGGCGACGGAGGGAAACAAATCAGGAGAGAGACAGCAATGTCTTCCTAATAACAACTAAAAAATAAAAAATAATCTTTGGTTGCTAAACCACTTGCCAAGCGTGGTAACTATGGCAAATATCCCCTCTATTATTAAGCATTATAGGGCGGCTTATGTTCAGCAGTGACCTTTAATAGGCGGCTATAACGTACCATGAGCGTGTCTCATGAATGTAAACTCTCACTGGAATCATCACAGCTTATGATAAATGCGTGTTGTTTAAGTTTACTCAGTCGAATGATTTTATTTACATTTCAAAATATAACTAAATTGAAAAGTCAATCACATTTCCAAGGAATAAGGCATTGGCTTACCGTCTATTTTATGAACTCATAAAAGTTAACAAAATTGAAGTATAATAACGATGTGCTTAGTGAAATAGAATTATTTAATATGTCGTGATAAAAAATAACCTTATTATAATTTAAAAGCTGACTTCAAGTTGCTGAAAAGAGTAAAATATTTCCATGTACCGAAGTCGGTTTTAAAATATACTGTTTGGAAGAATTAAAGCCTTCTGAATATGAAATTATCTCGAAGTTAGGGCTTAGTTAAGGGGTATTCGAAGTTTGACTTTCACTTTCTTATAAAGATATTAATTAATTTGCTACCTTTCGCTAACTAAATACAATGATGTGTCTTACCTGGATTGAAGAACACCTCCCGCCCTCCTTCAAGTGCGTGCACCGATCCCGTCACCACTAATCCTAGCACCACTACTCCCAACACCACTACTCCCGGCACCACTACTCCCAACACAAATATTCCAGGAAAGACACACCATCGACGACAATACGACACGTGTTTCGCCTCTACACGAGGCATCCTCAGGCGATGCAGACTCTACGGCGGCTAACCGATATCTTTAATAAAACATTTAAACAAGTTTAAATGTTTTATTAAAGAAAAATTGTACAAAAAGGGTTATTATAATATTAAGGAATATATAAATAAAAACAACCACTGGGAATGAAGTGATCGCCATCATGCTGGTTCTATAACAATTAATTCACAAATTGTACAAAATAAATAAATTATTGTAAAGTCAAATATTTTTATACAAAAAGTCCCGCTGGTATTCTTGCTGGTTCTTCCCAGGGCAAAGTTTTTCTTTCGAATCAACAGTAAATAAAAAAATGAATTTTAATAAGTACTATCTAATATTCTATATTGAACAAAAATCATTCATTTCAATAAGAATCCATAATTTTATTTCACTTCACAGGCGATTTTTCCGGACCTATTCGACTTAGGTACCTTTAAGAAAAGAGCTTACTCTTTTTTGAAAGACTGGCAACGCAACTGCAATTCTCCTGTTGTTGCAGTTGTTCATGGGTCGCAGTATGGTAGTCACTTACCGTCAGGTGAACCGCATGCTCGTTTACCCTCTCTTCTATAAAAAATTGTACCGGATATTGTCAATATAAGAATATCCACTGTCATATTTCGTCCCGTGGGTGTTGTAAGAGGTGACAGAAAGTATTGAGCAGTAAATATTTTATAATAACTAAATCAATATAACTTTAAAAACACCTACGAAGTTAAGAGCAATCGGTCTAGAGTCTAGATCTGATTTCTTATTATTTTTATTTTTGGTCGTTTTTAG